CCCGGGGGCCTGGTCTCATGGGGCCCCTGATAGCCTGTGGCCCCTAGTCGCCTAGGGGGCCCTGGTCGCATGGGGGGCCTCTGGTCGCATGAGGCCCCTGATCGACTGGGGGCCCCTAGTTGCCTAGGGGGCCCTGATAGCCGGGGGCCTGGTCGTATGGGCCCCTGATAGTCTGTGGCCCCTAGTCGCCTAGGGGGCCCTAGTCGCATGGGGGGGGGCCTCTGGTCGCATGATATTAAGGCCCCTGATCGCCTGGGGGTACCTAGTCGCCCAGGGGGCCCCTGGTAGCCGGGGGGCCTGGTCGTATGGGGCCCCTGGTTGTCTGGGGCCCCCGGTCGCCCCTAGTCGCCTGGGGGACCCTGGTCGCCTTGGGCCCCTGGTAGCCTGGGATCCCCTGGTCGCCTGGGGGCCCCTGATCGCCTGAGGGCCGCTGGTCACCTAGAGGGCCCCTGGTCGCCTGGGGGCCCCTGGTAGCCGGGGGTCTGGTCGCATGGGGCCCCCTGGTCGCCTGGGAGCCCCTGATCGCTTTGGGGACTTGATCGCATTGGCCCTTGGTCGCCTGGAGGGCCCTGGTCGCCTGGGGCAGTGGGGCCCCTAGTCATCTGGAGGACCTGGTCGCCTGGGAACCCCTGGTCGACTGGGGGTACCTAGTCGCCCAGGGGGCCCCTGGTAGCCGGGGGGCCTGGTCGCATGGGGCCCCTGGTTGCCTGGGGCCCCCGGTCGCCCCTAGTCGCCTGGGGGACCCTGGTCGCCTTGGGCCCCTGGTAGCCTGGGATCCCCTGGTCGCCTGGGGGCCCCTGATCGCCTGAGGGCCGCTGGTCACCTAGAGGGCCCCTGGTCGCCCGGGGGCCCCTGGTAGCCGGGGGTCTGGTCGCATGGGGGCCCCCTGGTTGCCTGGGGGCCCCTGATCGCTTTGGGGACCTGATCGCATTGGCCCTTGGTCGGCTGGAGGGCCCTGGTCGCCTGGGGCAGTGGGGCCCCTAGTCATCTGGAGGACCTGGTCGCCTGGGAACCCCTGGTCGACTGGGGGCCCCGGGTCGTCTGAAAGTACGCTTATCACCTGATTGATCCCAAATCATCTGAGTGGCTACTGGCTACTGGATATAAGTAGTGACTGGAGTAGGCACTCATCTGAAGGAGCCAATATCTTTCACGGTGCCGGAGATATCACAGAAAAACAAAAAGGCTGAACTGAATACCCCCCAACCATGGCCCCAAAGGCGTCATTGGCTAACCAAGGGATGTGGGTCGATTTGCAATCGCATTTCCTCCTAAGTCCTATGTCTCCAATTAATACAGAGTGTCCCAGAATTACCCAAGCATTTATTTTCTGGCTAAAAGTACAATTGCGCTCGATTCCTAGTGAAACATATACCTAATAGCCGCGTTTACATAGGGCTAGTTGCCAGATAGTGGAATTCCGATAACGAGACATTTATTCCCCACTATTATATTATATACCTTTATATCCGGAATTGGAGGATGTTCAGTAATTGAGGCGCTCGCTCATAAAATGCCGTGCGTTTCATGCACACTCCTCAAGCAAAAATATTTTTACTTTCCAATTTTCCACATTTTCTCAAGGCTTAGACCGTTACAGAGACCGTTTTAATTGACTTTGATGAAGTTGAACACGAGAAATCACAACCAAATGCTACATTAGGTTGTAAAGAACTGAATTGCGTTTTCCCACACGCGTGGCGTTTTCTCACCTACGTCTGCAGGAGAGACCGGACCCACTATGCCCCCCCCCCCCCCCCCCACCATCGAAAGGTTCCTCATGACTCCCGGGGGCCCCAGGGAACCTGGGGCCCTATACACTGTGGGGGGCCCCTTTGAAAGCAGGTGGCCCCCTCCTGGGCGAAATCCTGGGTACGTGCCTGGTCTTTGTTTTGCGCTACGGGGTCTAGAATAGCTAAAAATGGAGTTTGAAAATTTGACGTCATCAATTTTGAACAGTTTTTTCGCTATAACTTCGCCAAAAAAGGAGGTATCAATCTCAAATTTGGTATGTGGATGGAAGACGGTAAGGACTATTACATATATTCCGGTTTTTGCGAAATTCAAAAAACCTTTTGGATTTTTCGATCATTATATCCAAAAAAAAAAATTATTGTTGGGGGTCAAAATCCAAAAATTTCAAAAATCCGAGATAGCAGTTTTGTAGCCCTGTCAATTCTACAGCTTTTATATCTGTATCATTTTTCTGTATTTGCAAAGCTATAGGCCTGACAGCTCTTCCCGCGAAACCCTTTTTTGGGTCGAAAACGGCAGAACATGACGTCACTCTGACGTCATTTCCGACCAACCTATCATAGCCGTTGGAAAAATTTTTGGTCACGATGTGTAAAATTGATGTCCGGGAGGGTACTGAAAGTTTGGTGACGATCGGCGCAGCGGTTCTGGAGATATATCGAAAAGTCTGGAGGGGGGGCAAAAAATAGCCCCCCCCCCACCAGGTCGCGGGTTAATATATGCACATCTGCACTTACTGAATAAATCTGAATAAATGTAGTTCCAAAAAAGTATTTTAACTTTGCTCATTGCGTTTCTAGCTCAATAATAGGTAAGAAGAAAAAACGCTGGATGTCAGGAACAAGAACGTAAGACTTGTTGGGAATCGTTGGAGTGCACTTGGTTCAAACACGTCATAGACAGACTTCTCCTTATATTTACAGAGAAGTCTGTGCCCGTCACAGTATGTCTTACGTGACTACTTTATTGATGAGTCACTGTAACCTTTGACGCTTCGGGAAACTTTCTGCATACTTGGGTTGAATAGAATAAAAGGTGCAGTCTACGCGTGAATCAAGTGCAGCTACTAGTTAGACATTACAAGGGTCATAGACGCTTAGTGTCCCATTACGGATAAAAGCCACCGAGGAATGTCTAGCTCATCCTGAACTGGACGAAGATGACGATGTAGGTGACGATGGTGGACATGATGGCCACCATGGTGGAGCGCTGCAGCCGGTAGTAGCCCAGGTCGCCCAGGTGGTCCAGGTCGCGGCGCACGGCCTCCTGTAGAGCGCTGACCTCGCGACCGACCCGGGTCGACTCCCAGCGCAGCTTCAGCAGCGAACAGCGCGTGGCGGCGGCCAGGTCCAGCACGTGCTGGCCGGCCTCACACGGCACGGCGATCTGGAGAACAGCAGTCAGCAGCGTGTACAGCATCGAGTGATAGTTGGACTTTAGGTCTCCGGTCACCGTGCTCTGAAATCCCAGCAGGAAGGAGATGACCAGGCTGATGACGCCCGTCATCATGGAGAGGATCAGCTCGGGCGTCATGTCGGTCACCAGGCGCGAGAAGGCGCCACTTAGCCGATCGTGAAGCAGGCGAAGCTGCGCCAGCCGGTTCCAGTCCTTGAGGTCGCCGTCTCTGGCCAGAGACCGAAGCTCGGTGTCCACTGCACCGAACCCGACTCCGACAACCAGTGTGACGTACAGAAACTTGATGGGAATCGAGAGAAGGGCCACCATCGTGATAGATACTATCAGAAACAGTGATATTCTTGTCAAACACTCGAAGGACAATGTCCAGCAGTTTCCGTCAACCTCAATTATCAGCATCAAAAACGTCAGCATCGTAAAGGCGACAACCGTGGCTCCTAGCAGGAGAGCGGCCTTTTTCCGCAGCCACTTCCGTGCGGGCTGGTTCGGCATCTTCTGAGCCAGCTCTTCAGCCAGCTGCTGCACCTCTGAGAGGAGTGCACCGTACCGACGCCGACCACAGACGACCGTAGCCGTGAGTGGCACCAGCGGCAGTCCTTGTACACACCCGAAGAAGAAGGTAGCGAAGGCCGCTTCGAGCAGTGTCATACCATTCCTTAGGTAGCTGAAGCCGATCTCGAGGAAGTGGATGACGGACATCACGCTGACGGCTGCCACCATGATGTAGAGGAGTGCGGCGTACAGACGGGCCGGCCAGCCGGGGCCACCCGTCTGACCGGCCACACGCAGCAGAGCAACCAGAGCCCGGTCAGCGGTCGACGGCCAGATGACCATCAGCGCCAGCTCGGTCGAGGTCCTCTCGTTCTTGAGCGCAGCACCTCCGGGATCGGGAGAAGCATTCCCAAGGAAGGCTGATACATCCCCGAGCTCGGTCGAGGCGCTTGTGAGATCGGGCGAAGTGTCCCCGGGGTCGGTCGAGACATCCTCGAGCTCAGTCGAGACGCTTCTAACCTCCACGTGAGCAGCGGGCTGCATTACGGTTGGCATATCTGAAAAGATGACAACTAACCAGAGTGTGTACTCTGTAGGGTACATAAATAGGTGACTACAACAAGGAAGTCCTGTTTTCATTTTGCCTTGTTTGCTCACAGGCTTAGGTATGATAATATATAAGTGTCCACAGTCTGGTCCGGTTAACGGACATATGAGTAGGGAAGGGGTATTCATTGAGCGCTGTTGTTTTCTGCACTATCTGATCACAACCTATAAAACGTATCATCACGAAAATATCTAAAAAAGGGAATTAAGTGTTTCGTAATTATCACAGTTGATTCGAAACTAACGCGTGTCTTCATGACTACTCTATTTTAGTCATGCAAAATAAGCGAAGAATTCCAACCATTTTGTATTGTGTGCTCCGTATAGACCATACTGTAACGATTTTGACAAATGGCACAGGTCGCAAAACCGATGGGTATGACAAGAATCGTGTCGCATAGCGCCGCTGCTTTCCCTATACCACACGTGAAAGGGGTTGCGCGGCAAAAAAGCGCTCCTTCCCCATCATCACGAGAAGAAATATTACCATATTGGTGTGCTACATATAGATGGAGAATTTGTATCACCCCGGCAGTAATACTGGGGTATTTCTTCACCACCCACCGTTCGCTGGGGGGGGGGGGGGAGTAAACGCCCCCAGGCCCAGCCGATAATGAGATCGAGAACCAATAGGCGCAGTGAAACGCACGAGGTGGCAAAAGAAAGAACGCAACGAGACGTATCAGAGTTCAGATGAGCACTTGGAAGTTGAATTTCGAGGTTACATGTTGCGAATCACGCAGCAGATGTGCTATTTGGGTGTCTGTCACGTGAGACAGCTCGCCCTGTTTAAAATGGTCTTGCAGAGCATGTCGGGCTAAAAAAGAGAGAATACAGATGGACTTGAATCACAGAAACGTTCTTTCGTTAATTTATGATTAATCGATTTTTACTTTAATTCTGAATAAAGTAAACAGACAGAATCAGAATATTGAAGAATGACAACATAATTGGCGACCGTGACAGGACAATCGACATGGAAAAGTACTTAGAATTAGCAACACGATACGGATTGCAAGGTGAAGACGCGCTGAAGTTTGCAGCTGAGCGTATGGACAAGGATGTGGAGCGAGAGGAGAGAAGATTGGAGCGCGATAAAGAGCGAGAAAAGGAAAGAGAAAAACGCGAAGAGGAAAGAGAAGAACGCGAAAAAGAAAGAGAGGAGCGAGAAAAGCAAAGAGAAGAACGAGAAAAGGAACGGAAACACGAGTTAGAAAAGTTGCAATATCAAAATGAGACACAGAGCACATCAAGACAAGCCGCAAACCCTGTGCTGACTCCAAAACTGCCTCCATTTGTAGAAGGCCGTGATGAAATGGACAGTTATCTCCTGAGATTTGAGAGGTTTGCTCGGGCCGCTGGATGGGAAGAGGAGCAGTGGGCGGTCTCACTGAGCGCCTTGTTAACCGGCAAGGCGCTAGATGTTTATTATCGACTGGACGCTGAAGAGTCTTCCGACTATGAACATCTGAAACACGTGCTGCTAAGGCGTTACGGACTGACAGCAGAGGGCTATCGAAAGAAGCTGAGGGAGTCGAGGCCTGAACAAGATGAGACACCTGCGCAGTTCGTAGTCCGACTACAAGCATATCTTAAGCGATGGATCGAAATGACAGAGACTAACGACTCGAGAGACGGCTTGAAGGCGCTGATAATTCGAGAACAGTTCATGGACACCTGTACTCCCGAGCTCCGCCTGTTCTTGAAGGAAAGGGATCTGGCCTCTCTTGAAGATCTCACCGAAACTGCTCAACAATATTTGGAAGCAAGAGGCCAGACCTTATTTGATCTGAATAGGAAGCCTCAGTGGAGCAGGGACGCGAGACCACGGAGTTTCAGAGTGTCGGGACAGGCTGAAACAGTTCGATCCGCAGCTGCACTACAAGTAAGTGCAAAAACCCTGAAATGCGCTTTTTGTGAGCAGCAGCACGCCACAGAAGCATGCCAAGATGTTTTAAAACTCAGTGTCGAAGAGCGACGTAAGCGACTGCTAGCATCCGGCTGTTGTTTTCTGTGCCTGCGTCCAAAGCACATCGCTAGCACTTGCGAGAGTAAGAAAACGTGCACTGCATGCCAGCGGAAACATCATGACCTACTCTGCTTTGACAACGAATCGGAAGCGTCGAAGAGACCCGCACAAGTCCTCGCCGCTCGGTCGCAAGTGCAAAACAAAACTGGCGTCGCCCTGCAGACTGCTCGCGTTATGGCTGTCGGGGCAGCGGGCTTGAAGTGCGCTAGAATGCTTGTGGATTCCGGCTCTAACCAGTCATTTATTACAAAACGGCTGGCTACGAAACTGCAGTGCAAAAATGTCGGAGAGCAAGACACTCAGATAGTGACATTCGGAGGTACTGAGAAACGTCACAAGTCAATGAAGAAGGTGTCTGTCACGCTGAGGAAGATGGGTAGCATGTCCAGCGGCCTTACACTGAGTTTGGTCCAGATTGACACCATCTGTGGCCCGGTGAACACAAGCCTCACAGTGAATCAAGAAGAGCTGGATCACTTGCAAGATCTTGATCTCGCTGATCCCCCAGAAGAGTGGGAAGACGGACAGGAAGTCGACATACTGCTCGGAATGGATTTTTACCAGGACGTCATGACCGGACGTGTACGACACAGCATGTCCGGTCCGATCGCGATGGAGTCCATTTTTGGGTGGATTCTGGGCGGCCGAGTCAATTCAACTGAAGAAGAAAGCAAACAGACTCTCTTCGTTCGAACGACGAATGCCAGTGAAGATCTTGAGCGGATCTGGGATCTGGATTCGATCGGGATCAAGAGCCCTCCATTCGCTAGTGCACGCGAGGAAAAACAGACTCTGGAAAATGCAGCGGTGTCACACTTCGAGAACACGTGCACAAGACTCGACGATGGACGATACGAAGTGCGCTGGCCAAAGAAAGAAAACTTTGACAGTCTCCCTGAAGATGACAAACTAGCTCGAGTACGCCTCGAGCGTTGCGAGAAGGCTTTAGAGTCTAGAGGACGAAGGCAGGAATATGAGCAAGCTCTGATGCAGTATATAGAGAACGACTACGCCGAGCGAGCCCCCAGCACCCCCGATGGGCCTCTACACGTCATGTCACACCACGCTGTGTACAAAAATGGGAAGATACGGATTGTGTTTGATGCATCCGCCGGGCATCCTATTTCCCTCAACGACTGCGTGCTGGCCGGGCCCAATCTTATCGCAGACCTTGCTGGAATCCTGCTGAGATTCCGGCTCCACCGAGTCGCTGTATCAGCCGATATAGAAAAGGCCTTCCTGCAGATCAGCCTCCATCCAGAGGATCGCGATGTGACCAGATTCCTCTGGAAAGAAACTCCTGGAGCAGAGCCGACCGTATTCCGGATGAAGCGAGTCGTCTTTGGGGTCAGCGCGGCACCCTATCTCCTACAGGCAACAATCAGGCGGCACCTGAGTCAATATACCGACTCATGCGCTGCATCAGCTCTGCGTCTGAGTACCGACTTGTACTGCGACGATCTGTTGACAAGTCTGAAGACAGAAGAGGAAGCAGAGAAATTCATCCAAGAGACAAGGCAGATCTTCAGCGAGGCGAAGATGAATATGAGAAAATGGGCCAGCAATCGAAAGCTGGCTGCGGTCGAAGACGACAGGTCCAACTCGATTCCGCTCCCTGATGGCGAGACAGAAGAGAAAAGGGTGCTGGGAGTGGTATGGGCCCCAACGGACGACAGCTTGAGGTTTGATCCCAGCTCCCTTGTGAGCTTGAGTGATAGCCTGCGTCCTACCAAGAGGAACGTTCTCAGAATATCCGCCAGGATTTTCGATCCTCTGGGCCTGCTGACACCGTTCACAGTGCGGACCAAAATGCTACTGAAGCAACTGTGGATTGGAGGGAACCGATGGGATGACCCAATGCAAGCAGATGCACGTCGGCTATGGGAAGCGTGGAAGGAGGATCTCAAAGAACTCGAGAAGATCCGCATCCCAAGAAGTTACGGTTCAGCCAACACTGAATCGTTTGAAATCCACACCTTCTGTGACGCCAGTCAAGACGCCTATGCCGCCGCCGTGTACCTGCGGTCAACTGATAAATATCCCCGCAAGAGTAGACTGCTGATTTCGAAGAGCAGGCTGGCGCCGACAAAGCCCATGTGTCTGGCGCGTCTTGAGCTAATGGCAGCGGTGATCGGCGCTCGACTCACCGAATATGTGCTACAAGCTCTCAGCATTCAGCCGGACTCCGTACATTTGTGGACGGACTCAGCCGTGGCACTCGCCTGGATACGGAGCAACCCGCAGCGATGGGGTGCCTTCGTGTCGAACCGTGTGGTGGAACTGCAACAAAAGTTCGCTCCAGAGTGTTGGCGGCATTGCCCTGGCCAGAGCAACCCGGCAGACTTGCCGTCGCGAGGTGTGTCTGTCAAGAAGATGCAGGAAGACCTATGGCAAAGAGGTCCTGCTTGGCTGGAGCTGCCTGAAGAAGGATGGCCGCGGCAAGATCGGATCTGTGAACCTCCGGAGTGTCTGAAGGAGGAAAAGAAGAGCAAAACTGCACCGGTTCTGGTGACTCATCAAACTCATCCTGACGGAAGCTGCCGGCTGAAAAATGTCATTGATGTCAGCAGATTTAGCACACTCGACAAGCTGCACCGAGTCACTGCATGGGTGCTCAGATGGAAAGCCATCCGCCCCGGCCAGACCAGAGAGCACGGAGACCTGACTGTGGAAGAGCTCCGCAGGGCTGAAAACATCTGGCTGAAGGAACTGCAAATGGAGTCGTACGCTGCGGAGCTTGCCAGGCTTCAAAAGGGAGAGGAAATCAGCAAGCAGTCCAACGTTTACAATCTGAATCCGTTCATGGATCAAGATCTGATGAAGGTCAGAGGGAGGCTGCAGGAATCTGACCTGAGCCAGGCAGAGAAGCATCCCATCATCGTTCCTTCAGAGCACAGATACGTGCGGCTCCTTATCCTCGATCGACACCAACAAGCATGCCACGGTGGAGTACAACAGACGCTCCATTCTCTCAGGGAACGGTTTTGGATCCCTCGCGGCCGACAAGTCGTTCGGAAGATCATTCGTGATTGTTCAATGTGCAAGATGTTCTGTACAGAACCTTTCGTTGAAGAGGCGGCTCCACTCCCAAAGGAGAGAGTGTGCCAAAGACCGCCATTTTCGGCAGTTGGAGTGGACTTAGCCGGTCCAATATACAGAAAGGACCCTCCCGGAAAAAACCCTCTGAAGGTGTGGCTAGTTTTGTTCACTTGCACCGTAGTACGAGCGGTGCACCTTGAACTAGTGGAGTCTCAATCTGCAGACGACTTCATGAAGGCATTTGAAAGATTCTCAGCAAGACGAGGGCAACCTGAGATCGTCTATAGCGATAACGGCCTCAACTTCAAGCGCGCGTCAAGGATTCTGGCTTCAAGAGGCGTCAGGTGGAAGTTCAATGTGCAGCGAGCGCCCTGGTGGGGCGGCTTCTGGGAGAGGCTGATACGTATGACCAAAGAAGCTCTGCGTAGAACCCTAAGAAGAAGTCTCCTCACGTGGGAGGAACTCAGCACAGTCCTGTGCCAAATCGAGGCGGCCATCAACGCCAGACCGCTGACGGCCCTCAACGACGACCCAGATGACATCCGCCCTCTCTCGCCACAGGACTTCTTACGAGACAATCCTTCTAAGCCTGGGACTGGCGACCATCAGTATACGGATGCATTTTTTGTCTCTGGTCGTGATCTCAAATCGATGAGAAAATATCGCCTTCAGGTCCTCCAGCATCTTTGGAAGCGGTGGAACACTGAATACTTAAGAGCACTCCGCCTACCACTCCGGGCAGGACCCCAAAGACGAGGACCAAGAGAGCATGACTTGGTGCTCATAGAAGACAACCCGCGTTCCTCGCGTGCGTTGTGGAAAACAGGCATAATCGAAAAGCTGCTTCCTGGACGGGATGCTCGTGTGCGGTCGGCGACTGTGCGCACTACAGACGGGACGCTCGTGCGGCCGATTCAGCGGCTTCATCTTCTGGAGGCAGCTAACCTAACCCAACCTTAGGATATCTACGTCCCAGGGGTGACAGCGGTGTAGTGAGATGTTCGTTATTCATCTCACGGGGGGAGGATGTTGCGAATCACGCAGCAGATGTGCTATTTGGGTGTCTGTCACGTGAGACAGCTCGCCCTGTTTAAAATGGTCTTGCAGAGCATGTCGGGCTAAAAAAGAGAGAATACAGATGGACTTGAATCACAGAAACGTTCTTTCGTTAATTTATGATTAATCGATTTTTACTTTAATTCTGAATAAAGTAAACAGACAGAATCAGAATATTGAAGAATGACAACAGTTACAGGTCGGGTCAGGATCAGGTCCTGAAAATTAATCATACCCCTGAAAATCATACCTGGTATTCGCAGCCTATGACTCATGTGTTATAAGTACATTTGGGCGTAGAACACGATGGTGACATTCATTTTATTATACGAGAACGTGTTCGGTCGAAAAAGATCAATTTAACCATTGCATATGTGCGGCGTTTGCCAGCTTCTTATGTGTAGGGCGGGGGGGGGGGGGGGTGGGTCGGTTAGACCCCTCTTGCCGTTTGGCCCCTGATCGAGCTAGAGAAGGTCCTAGGTCATTGGTTGACCTTCCAGGTCAGGTCAATGACCCAAAAGTCGGGAAACTCGGGACCTAGCCTTAGGTCACCGATATGAAAATACCGAGATATACATTCTGTACATGTGACCTGGTGACCTGACATTGAATGAGCTTGGGCTGAAATTTTTACAGGTGTAGAATTGATGTATGATAAGGTGTGCCAAAAACGGCGGCGCTCGACGTGGCCGTTTTTTGAGATATTCGTTAAAAATCGGATGGGTGGTCAAACATCCCTCCCCCCCCCCCCCCAGCAGAGCGCGGGTTAAGCTATGGCGCGGCGAAAAAAAAGTGGGGGCGTTTAACGAGCCCCCCCCCCCCAGTAACTTGCGGGATATGAAGTCATGTAGTCTGGAATATCCAAGGAACACAGAAATTTCCCTTTTTACACTTCTAACTTGGCAGAGTCCTGCCTCCCACCATAGAACCCGTCCAACTTACCGTGAACCGTATGGCACTTCAGTCCGATAAGACGTGCTCGGGAACTATGAGCGGCCCACCGTGTGCACTTTCTATGTTTGCCAATACCCCAATGTCTCTGTCAGCCCGTAGCCATGTCGCAACAGAAAACAGTGTGCACAGTACACATGGCTGTTGTGTGAGGCGCCAGACCAGCAGCCCTTGCCCCTTTGTTTGTGTATTCAGATTATTGATTCTTTCCACCGCCTCATAGCAGCTGCCACCGAACTCTTTGGCGACTTCTTTTCATTCCTTTTTTGTAGGGACGTTTGAAAAGTCTTGGTACCGTCTAAATAGTTAGACGGTACATACCAAGACGGCACTCTGTCGATGGGCTGGCAAGTGGCAAATACTGGCTGTTGACTCGCGAGCGACAGGCGAGACGTTCAATGCAGAAGGCCTGTTTATATTTATTGACTCCAACAAAATATTAGAGTCATGAACAGGATTAGTATACCTACTTTGCTCTTTGTCCTCATCTAAAACTTCTGCAAAGGCTGGGAGAACCGTCCAAAACGTCCCTCTTAAGTAAAAACGGTGTGTCACCGCTAAACTGGTTATTTCACCATGCGTCATTAGGTATTTTGTTAAAGTCTTACCATCCGTCTATTGAACAAAATAATACGCAAGGCACTCGGGTGTTGGCGTTTACGGCATGTCTGTGTCTATTCTGTGATTTTATATGATTTTTGGAACATATGCCGTTGTTGGTCGAAAACTCAGAAATCACGACGTCACTAAAATCTCGATATCTCAAACATTTTCCGATCGATTTTTTTTTTAAACTTTGTCACAATAAACTTCAATCTATTCCCTACAGGTACCCAAATTGTGACGCGCCTGGGGCGCGCCGTTTTTGTGCTATAGCGCGGCGACAAAGTGGGGGCGTTTAACCCGCGCCCCGTAGGGGGGGCCGAAACGGCCCCCCTGTCCTTTTCGGTCGATATCTCCTAAACGGCTGGAGATATCGCCACCAAACTTTCAGGACCCCTCCGGGCATCAATTTTACACATTGTGACCAAAATTTTTTTTCCAGAAGCTATGATAGGTTGGCCACAAATGACGTCAGAGTGACGTCATGTTCTGTCATTTTCGACCGAAAAAAGACCTTCGCGAGAAGACCTGTCACGCCTACAGCTTTGAAGATACAGAAAAATGATCAAGACATAAAAGGTGTAGAATTGACAGGGTTACAAAACTGCTATCTCGGATTTGTGAAATTTTGGAGTTTTGACCCCCAAAAATCAAAAAAGCATTTTTTGGATATATTAGCCAAAAAATCCAAAAAGTTTTTTTGAGTTTCGAAAAAACCGGAATATATGTGATAGTACCTACCGTCTTCTATCTACATACCAAATTTCAGATCGAAACCTCGTTTTTTGGCCAAGTTATAGCGAAAACACTGTTCAAAAATGATGACGTCAAATTTTCAAACTCAATTTGTGGCAATTCTAGACCTCGTAGAGCAAAACAAAGACCGCCATTAGACTCCCCGTGACGAGCTGCATCGAATCGATACCCATTTTATGCAAAAATATCAACTTTGAAATTTGACCTAATTTGACCTGACCTTGACCTGACCTTCACCAAAACGTGACCTAGGCTGGCCCCAAAGGCTGCCTGACCCACATAATCGCATTTGTCATGTAAAATGAACCATAAAACATGTATCACACGACACTTTCATATTGTGACCCCCGGTGACCTGACCTCGCTGTGACCTGACCTGGTATCAGTGACCTCAGATAGCAAAGTATGTGTTTGACGAACAATGTACCATCGATGGTTATCAATAAATTACCAATTTACTCGATTTCACAACACATTTCTTGAAATGCCTGTGAACGGTGAAAATCTGACCTTTGACCTGACCTGTGACGTCATCGGTTTGACCTAGGTCAATGAAATTTGGTCACAAGGTAGTTCCTGGGTGGGGCTATCGAACGCCGTTTAAATTTTGAAAATCGGACGGTAACTTTCCGAGATCTTAGGGGGGGCCGAAACGGCCCCCCCCCATACGGGTGGTAGGGTCCGCCGGTAGTCCTACGGGGCGCGGGTTAACCCTATTAGTGGCAGGCTCCTGGCTACCCCTATTAGTGGCAGGGGGGGGGCTGTTTACGACCCCCCCCCCGATATCTCGAGATCTAGCGGGCTGAATTTCAAAATTCAAACGGCATTCGATTTCGCTCAACGTGATCTACATTTCTAAAAAAAAAATTAAAAAATGTCAATAGGGGGGTAGAGAGTAGTAAAGTAATCTTGGGTAGACGGGGATAAAAACGGGCAAATTGCAGATACATTTTAGACTGTTTATCACGGCCAGGTTTCTAAACCAATCTTAACGCAACTTTTGCCGATCGATAGAGAATGAACCAGGAATTCACATGGATCCTAAAAATATGCATTTTCAAAAATCATAGGCGGATACAGATCATTGAGATTGGGGGTACACAAAAAGTATAGTAAATAAGGTTTTTGTTGGTACTGTTTCTAAAAAGGGTGGTCATGGTCTTGTTATGTTATAATTTTATTTATAGTCACCGTGATAATTTTCTTATGAGAGAACGACTACAATTGTATTGGTCATGCATAGGCGGTGTCAGGGCACCTATGTTGGGAGGTAAAACATAACCCCCCTTTTTGGACGCCTGGATCCGCCTATTATAGCAAAAGCGTGTCAAAAGAGGATGCACAATTACTTTGTATATATGTTATCACATGATACCTTTCATTCACTGTTCGTAAAACTGGTGCATACAGTTATAATACATCAGCATCGTGATCTTCGACCAAATGACCCGCTTCACGAATAGGACCCCCTAATTCCCAGTGCTCTGGAGCCGGTTACAGGACAATTTGCCGAACTGCATTTTGCCGAATGCTTATTCACCGAATGTCAATATGTCGAATGCATTTTGCCGACGTGTCTTTTTGCCGACGTGTCAAAAGGGCGAAGTGCTAAAAGTCGAAATGCAATTTGCCGACATGCCTTTTTGCCGACGTGCAATAAGCCGAAAATGTCAATTTGCCGAAATGTCAATTTGTCGAAAAGTCAATTAGTCGAAATGTCAATTCGCCGAAATGCTAATTTGCCGAAATGCTAATTAGTCGAAATGTCAATTTGCCGAAATGTCAATTAGTCGAAATGTCAATTCGCCGAAATGCTAATTTGCCGAAATGCTAATTAGCTGAAATGTAAATTTGCCGAAGTGTCAATTAGTCGAAATGTCAATTTACCGAAAAGTCAATTAGTCGAACTGCCAATTAGCCGAAATTAACCTAACCTAACCAAACCTAACCTGACCCGTAAGTATTACCTTTAGGACCGACTCGCTTTTCAAAGGTAAAGAAACCCACTTACATGTCACCAAAGTATATGAAAAACATAACCAAACCTTACCTAACCTGACCTACTGATTTTTGCCTACCCGTGGATAAGGAAGAAGATACTCACATGAATAGATTTCAGACAATGATAAGTCAATTATTTTTAGGTTAAGTGATTGTGCATCGAAGGCCTGAAGCCAGATACACAACAATTTAACCCTCACCGGACCTATTGGTTTTCTACATACGCGCCGGCCGAGGTGGTAATCGCTGAAAGGCGATTTGCCGAATGTCATTTTGCCGAATGCATTTCGCCGAATGTCATTTTGCCGATGTGCTTTTTGCCGACGTGTCAAAAAGTCGAAATGCCATTTGCCGACATGCCTTTTTGCCGAAATGCCAATTTGCCGAAATGCTTATTAGTCGTTTCGCCCCTGATGGAGCTGGCGCGTCGCGGAAAAAACGAGCGTGTGCGCCGTTACGAGACGCAGAGATTGATATCCGATTTTAAGGTCCTACGTCAACCGGTGACCTCTGAGGTCAGGTCAAGTGCCCAAAGGTACGGTTCAGTCTTTGGCGAATAACTTCGCCACAAAGGGCCGCAGG